TTTTAAATGAGAAGCATACTGTGGTCACATACAGATAGACATGTTACATCATGTAATAAGCCAAAATTAAAAATAAATTTAAAAAAAATCAACAACAAGAAGAGAAAGTGACCCTGCCTGCTCAGTCCAAAAATCCTTCTCCTTTAAAGTGCTGCAAAAGGAGTGAATCAATATTATTTGGTTAACTGGCAGTACAAGCATCCAAAATCCACACATCTAAAGTCACTTATCCTTTTTTCCCCATTCCATTTAAAGCAAAAATAATCTAAATTAAAGGAGAAGTACTAAGAACTGGCATGGATCTATGTAGGTCTCTGTAGAGTAATTTAGTATGAAAGCGATGAGCCAGATCTAGATATATGAGTGAATCCCAGACTTTCTGCATATTATCCACACGCTACTCCAGAGATAAGTCATAGCAAACAATAAAGAAGTTGTGTAGCCAAGCAGAGTAGAGAACAATAACCTGTCTGGTACACTTTATCAATATAAAGTCATAGTACAACAGCCAAGGGAAAGTACAGGAATTGGGAACTGGGTTAAATAAGTTTCTATGGCTTGCAAGACCTCCAGGGGCCGTATGGACAAGAAGAATGTAAATAAAGGCCAGTGGCACAGGATTAAAAAATTTCAGTCTTCAATGGAAAAATGTTTCTTTTTAAGGATAGCAGAGGAAATGTTTCCATACTAGAAGAATCCAGCCAACCATGAAAGCAAATGTTTCCAATCTCTGTTATTTGCTCTACTTCTATATGTATATATTTAAGGAAAAAGAACAAAATAAGAGCAAAGCAGGAAACGTTAAGTCCCAGTTTAGGACAGTAGGCATTGGTTATCAACTTAAACAGAAAAGAAACAAAAAGCACGTATGTATCTGTTGTGCTTGGCCTAACGACTGTACAAACCAGTAACAGCTGCCTCCCTATCAGGAGAGAGAAGCCTTGCACCCCTGCATGGGTGCAAACACAGAGGTGGGTCCTGGGGACAAGAAGGATGCACAAGGCTGCTGCAGAAAGGTTTACATCCCCTCCTTGCTCTATCAGTGTGCCAGCCTGCAGGTGCCAGCAGCCTTTCCTGAGACCAAACCTCTCAGGGCATTAAGAAACTCTCACATCTCTGGAGTTGCAGACTTTACAGCCATATGATGCCATTGTGAGCTTCCACAAAACACATCCCTGAAAAGAGATTTCAGTTCCCGCTCTATGCAATCCATACGAGTCCTCTCGCTTCACTGCCATCTCTCCCCTATCCACAGTGAATCCAATCTGGAGGAATTGGAGAAATAGCAGAGGGCTGTGGGACCATCACCACTTTTGTAATGGGCAAATTCAGGTGGCAAGATTCAACTTTGATTTAGTTTCCTCGTCCAATCCGTAGAGAGAAGGCTTAAAATACCAGAGGTAAATTGTGAGAGGCCTTATTCTGTTGTCCATTTTTCTGTGTGTCAAAAAAAAATGCTCTCATGGTTTTACCTTATTCTCTGGTGTCACTTTCTCAGTGGTTAAGTACTGGTACAAGGCACTGTAATCAATGCTGACATTCAAAAAGTAAATGCTTGTCTTATCATAACCTGCTAAAGGCAGTTCTGCCTTCTCACAGTTGTTATTTTGCAGTTTCAGGCTAGAACTGTTCCCAGACCCAAAGTGTTAATTGTTAATTGTTAGCTTTGCTGACAATCAGGAACACACATCAAACTGGAAGGAAAGCAGGATTCTCAGCTGCCAGACTGATGAATAACTGAACCGTTCTCATGAGTATCCAATAATAGCAAAACTGCTTTCATATAAATGTGTTCAACCACACATAAAAGGATGATTTTTGGACGTGGAGGATTAAAACTTTCTCTTACACTTTCAGTATTACGGTCTACAAAAGCCGATTTCTCTGCTTCTTTCCTGAATTCCAGGATTAATCTGTGAGTATGCTTGACTAAAGTCTCTTCAAAAAGCTTTATTTAGATGTGAAAGGAAAAACAACTTGTCTCGTTTGCTCTGGTCTAAGCTTCTATTGCTCAGCGCCCATGAATTGCATTGCGTATAGGGAAATAATGTCAATTTTGTGCCTTCAACATTTGTGAAAAATGTCACCCTGCTTAATAGGTTGATTAAAACTCTATATGCTCCAGAAAATAAATATGGTTGTTTATCATACTTGCCCAAGATAATGACAGTAAAGAAGGTTGAAATGCTGTATGATTTCCTCTCTTCTGCATCCAGGGACATTCAGCACACAGATGGTGTTCCACATAAAGGATTGAGTTAACTGTTAAACATTTTTTCTTCCCATTAGCTCAATTAACAATATGCCCCGGCTATTAACAAAATAGACAAATCACAGAAAACTTGTCAGCTTAATCCTGACTGCTAAAACAGACCATTAGCCCAGATGGGATTGTTTCCTGGCCTATCAGGCTCAAAACATCTAGAAATTTTGCAGCCACCAGCCCAGACTCCAGCAGTGTTGATTCAGCTCTTCAGCCTTAATTGATTTTCAGGCACTTAACTCTCCAGAGATTTTTGAATGGCAGCTTAAATATTGAAAGCTACTCTTCTCTGCGTGTATGCTAGGTCACCTGAATTTTCAGAAGTGATGAGCTCTGAGGAGCCTTAAGTCAGCAGATGCCATCAGTGACGAAAATCACGGCAAAAACCCCTGAGACACTTTTGCCAGAGGGGGCAGTGTAGCAAATAAAGCAAGCATTTCCAGCTTGTTTTCATTTGTCGCCTTCTGCAGCAAAAGCACTCTTGCAGACCTTGGGGCTGGTGGCGTTGTGGAGGCTTCCATCCTAACTGTGAGAAGGGAGCTCTGCCTGCACATCACTGCTTCCTGCATAGCTGTGCCTATTCTGCTCTCTTCATCTCCATTTTCCCACATCTCCTTTTGCTTCTATGAAATATAGTAAGAAGGGAGTATCAGCCTATAGGCTAATTTTAGCAACACACGTGGCCTCTGCTATTCTTATAACTAATCGTGATCAGAAAGGTGGTGAAAAACACTGTAAATGAAACACAGTGGCCTGCTCAAACTCATTATGCTGCGAAGGCTGCTCTGAAAGAAGTGCCTCCTATTTTATAATGTTGGCCTAGGCTTCAAAGGCAGATGTTGGTGCTATGGCAATAGAGGTTGAAACTTCCTGTCAATATTCTGTCACTTTTTTTTGCTGTGTGACAGATGGTGTCTGACACGGAAGAGCGTATAAAGCTGAACTGTATCACTGGATTCCTCTCTGTGGAAAAAATAGCACCCACTGATGTTCATCAGCACTTGCTGAAAGTTCATGGAGATTAACAGCGAATGTGAGCACAGTGAGGCAGTGGGTGGTGTGTTTCAGCTGTGGTGACAGTAGCAGTGGGTCATCTCCACTGGTTCAAATTGTTACGAGAGTAGCATGCAGGCTCTTGCTCATTGCTGGCAAAAATACATGGCTAATGGTGGTGACTGTTGACAAATAGTGCTTCGTAGCTGAGAAACTGCTCTATCAAATAGTGTTATTATGCTCTTTGTATCTGTTGTAGTTTCCATGGAAATAAACAAGGAATCATTATTTTTAGAGTAACTCATGTACATTACCCAGTTTTAATTGCAGGGCTACAAGCATCTCATTATTTAGCATAACTCTTCGCACAGGAAAAGCTGATAATGAACCTCCTCTTCCATGTTTTATTCTCGTACTCCCTTGATGCGGAAAGAAAATAAAAGGTAAGATTTTTTTTTTAAATAAATGAGCAATTGCGTAGTCGCTAGACCCATCGACTTTTTGGTTCAATGTCTACTTGCAGAATTTAAGTCTTGAAACCTGATTCATTTATTTATTTATTTTTGTCTGTTGCTGTTTGCTCAGTTGCATTAACTACACACATTAAGGTCTCTAGCTACTACTGATACACTATGTGCTTTTTCCTTCTATCTGTACAGAGAATGGCACATTTTCTAGTGTTTTGTTGTGGTTTAGGGTAACTGTGCTAAAAGTTTTCATAAAAAGAGCAGTATCCAAAGCTGACAAAATTTTCACCTAGTGAAGAAGAGTTGCACAGTGCAAAGATCAAAATTCTTGTGGATTTCAGCATGAGACTTGATTTACTTTTAAATTATGATTGTACTCTTTATATGAGCCTTTATCTAGAGAAAACCCATTTATAGCCAAAATCACACAATAGAGCTTGGAATAATATGATGATCTATGAATTTCTCATTCTTTGGAAGATGTCTTATGCAAAGCCTTTTATCTTAGCACTGGTTTACTACGTCATTCTGTACGTGTACTGTATATGTGATTCTGTTTTAAAGGTTTGTTTGCAAATTTCACTAGTTTCTATTTTTTTTGAAAAAAAGTAATCTGATAAGGCTGTACAACTTGGGGCACTGCCAGATTTAATTCATACTGTGTGCTGTATGGGAAATTTTTTATTATATAGTCAAACCAATATAGTGGTTAACTGTTACCAGAAGTGACAGCTCTCTTCTGCCAGGGCTAATACTCATTCAGCCTTTAGAACTCAAAAGTGCTAGAAAACTACTCATTTTTCTTAAGGATTGCTTCTAAACTGTGTTCTCACACAGTCACTGTGCTGATGGGAGGCAAGCAAGAGTGACACTTTTCACAGCCAGCTGTCGCGGTTCAGATGATTTGTTAAATTCCAGGACAGGTCATTCACTGTAGCACAAAGTAAGTCACTCTCTGACCACTCCTGTCTTTCTCCATTGATGGTACAGAGAGCTTGGATGACTAATTCAGATGAGATTTTACTGAAAGTTAATTTAACAGATAAATCCAAGTCACTCGAGTTCCACCTTAAAAACTAAAATTGGTCAACTTTAAGAGCATAGTAAGACTTGTATTTATTGAATTTAATTCAATATTTAATTCAGTACCTGATCAGTTTTAATGGCACGGACACATATTAAACTTGCTGACTCAGCACTAATATGCATAAGCTTAGGCACTACAGGCAATCCCCATGCACACCAACAGAAATATGGAAATAGTACCACTGCTCATGTGCATAGGATAGAAATATTCACCACAATTTATTTAATACTGGATTACAATAATCAAACTATGGAAAAGATGTCATCATCTTTATTACACTTCAATTGTGTTAAAGATATTATTATAGTGCTGTCATGTTTCATAGGAAAACCACACTTCTCTATTATTCATCTGACATTTAAAGGTTGTTTTTTTTTTAACATTCTTTCCGAGAAATGTAAAGATTTAATCACAAAAGACAGGTTCTAGGCGGACTTTATTAAATCTGGCAGCTGTCTTAATTGGACTGTGTGCAACTGATAAAAAAATCCCTGATAACTGGGCATTCACTCAACAAAGAATTGTTCACTGATAGTAATTTATTTTTTTATTTCTGCAATTTTACAGATCTACAGTTCTGCAAATACAGTATTTGAGTACAACATATTATTCTTCCTAGTTACGCCTACGCCTCATGAGATTACTGCAGTGTGGGAAAACGACACATTGCTTCTCCTGATAGAAGAGCCACAGGAACCACTAAATAACACCTCCCAGAAAACACACACTTTGTTTGCTGAAAATATCTGTTGCGTAGGACAGGCTGGACATAACACTATTGTATATATTTTTCACTTACGTTGTTCATACAAATATACTAGAAGATTTTATACAATCGGTCAGATTCACAATTGTGGGATCCAATTAAAAAGCTACTACTGAAAAAAGAGTGACTTCATTGAGGTCTCTACTGCTGCTCTGTAGAGGAGCTCAGCAAGTCATTACCTCTGTATTTGATGTTTTAAACTTTCCAATCAGACAAAAACAGCTTGGTTTAGACACTTTCTTTGATACAACTTTAAATATCTCCTTTATTTTTAGAAGAGTGCACTGTAACCTTTATCTCCAGGCTCACTGATGGACCTTTTATAATTATCTTGATATTTACATTCCTAATGATGCATGTAAATGACACTGAAAGCACTGTTCTTTGTTTCCTACAGAAATAACCTAAAATTACTCTTTAAAGGAAGGATGGGGTAAACGTTTATTGAGGTTCTGTCCTTATATATTAACAATTAAAGTTGTTGGGTTTTTTTTAAGTCCTCATAATGCACAGCCTTTTTTCAAGTTGGAACCAACTTACCTTGGAAGGTTCATTTTCTCACAAATCAACCATACCAAACACTGAAGAAATACAGTATAAATTATTATTTTAATTATCTTGCCCCTGAGATGTTAACTGGCATCCCCAGGTTCAGTGAACTCAGTTGGTAACTTGCTCAGTCTGATTTATTTTCTCTTTCATTCAGATGAGACGCTTCTGATGCTTCTGCTCCTTTTCTTGCTGAAAAAGCCATCTCCAAATGCTTCTGATTCTTTCACTTTGATTTAAGTAAGTCTTCCCATTCAACGGTGGACTCACTATTTTTAGGTATTGCTGGAAACAGTGACTGCATTTTAGTTCGGAATTCTTTCATCTATAAAAGAGGTTAAGAAATAAAAGTAGTCAACTATTAATAAGAGGCTCATTCCACAAAATATAGTTGTTTGAGGTAAAGAAGACGGAAAAAGGCCTTAAAAATAACAGCAAAGTAAGATATTCTCTTTAATTATACTGGTTCAATTAATTAAGTGGGAAAAAAAAGTATGAAAGAGACAAACTACAATCCCCACATCTAAAGAATCACACTGGGTGTCTAACTTGGAACCGCTTGTCTGAATGATTCACAACTATTATATGAGCTATTGTGTGAATATGTACATATAAATATTAATATTTTTTTGTTTGATGTAAAATTACTTCAATAGAATTCAGCCATATTTTCAATGCAGTGCCTTATTCTGCACTTTCTCTAGGTTGAAGATCTGTTATAATAGCTCTGTTTGAGGATTTTAGAACAAGATTAAAGAAAATGTTCAGCTCTGACAGTTTTAGTTTATCCAACAGTATAGATACAGGTGATTAAACAAAATCTTATTAAAATTTATTTATTAATAGACAGGAAAAGAAAATTCATTATTATCCATAGGACCATGCTTTTCTTTTCTTTCTTTATTGATAAATTAAAGTGTGTGCTTTGAAAAAGAAAGATTGCTGTCTTTATATTCTATGTATTAATGCATTAAAACCAAACACCAAATCTATATTTATGGTAATCATTTTAAGACCAATGGCTGATTCTATTGTCTTGACAGGCCAGAACTGAGAATTAATTTCATTAAAAACCACTTCTTTTTAAAGTTGCTGCTTAGATTTAATTGGTTCTTTTCTTCCAGTATTTTTATATACAAGGGCTGCTCCAATTATCTCCTATTTTATTACGTTGGTCCACAATGCACAAAGCAAGCTTGACTAGAAAATAAAATATTACAAGTCTATTATGAAAGAAAAAAAGTTTCTAGAAAGCACCAAAGCATTGCTATCAACTGTAGATTTAAGAATACTCAGACTTCTCTCAGAATGCTAACTTATGTTCTGCAGGTAAAAGCAACTCATTTTCTGGAAAAGCAATTTTCCTTTAGCACATAGATAGAATTCAAAATATTTAATGCCTTTTTTTTGTTCATTTTTAAGACCCAGTGATAAATTTCTTCAGCCCTATCTTCTTAGATTCCAATGCTTTTTTGTAAAACCATTTTGCAAGCGATGCCAGACTTAATGCCATTACTTTGCTCTTGCAAGCATCCACATCTTTTTCCATGACCCATCTCTATACAAAACATTTTTAATTGCAGTTCACAGGCTTGACTGTTCTACATTTTCTCCAGACTTTCTTCTTTTGTGATTCCCATGCTGAACAGTGAACTACTTTAATAAATCATAACACTAAGTTGATCACCAGCGTGGATTGACTTTTCAACATAATGCATTATGTTGTCAGCTATTTAGGAAAAGCGTTCTCTACAGTGTCTGCCCAGTGGGCCTAAGAAGAACCTGATATCTTCTTGGTGTGTCTAACCAGGGTGAATTTGTTGACAATACAAACATCATAGCTACTATTACTTGACATTTTCATTTCTGTGCAACTTAAAAATCCTATATCCTACTATTTCTCTCCACAATAGTTTTTGAGTAATACATTAAGCAATGCAACTGGTACTACGCACAGACTTTTGTTCTTTTTTCTCTCTCTTCCCAGTAAGAAAGTGCAGTAGGGTTTCACTAGAGCTTTGAATAGATTTCTAAGGTATTTCCTTCTCATCAGCACCACTAATGCCCTCAGCTTTTGAGTTTCTTCCTCCATTTCCAAGTTGTGCTAGTTACACAAACTCAATGCATTTTCAAATCCTGGCCACTGTCCTCCCAGTACTCAAAGCTCCTTTACAGCTCCCTAGTCACACTGCCAAAAAGCATGGAGAAGGCTTCAAAAAAGCCTTTCTCTGATGGAGTGGGACCAGTGTACATAGACATAAATCACGATGGAAAATGCAACACAGTTCCTTCCCTCCCGGTGTCAATGTCTGCTGCTTGTGAATCCTTCTAGTATCAAATTTTAAGCTGTGACTTCTCTCAGTCATTGACCATGCGCTTTGTACCTTGGCTGTTGAATGACCAACCTGTATTTAGTATAAATTTGGCCTCCAAACTAACTCATGCTGGCCTCGCACTTGTTCTTGTTTTCATTTGGTTGGTAACATCATCCCAGGCCTACTGCAACCTCAGAGGATCCCTGTTTTTCAGCAGATAAAAATAAGCTATCCTTCCGTGAACTGGATTTCCTGGTATCCAGTCAGCCTCACACACTCGAGTGAGCTTCTTGTGAAGGTGACTAACCTGGCTTTATATTATTTGAACACTGCACCCTGATTAATGAGGGAAACCTTGCAATTCAGAACCCATGTCATGCCTTGCCTTTTTTTCAGAGATAAATTGCTTGGAAGGTCTCTTCTCTCTCCAACCCAGAAACCTCCTGTATTTCTTCCAGATTCTGTAATACACACGCCAGTAGTCTCAAATCAACAAGCATTAATTTAATTAGAAAAGGTAATATGCCTACGTACCAAATACTGGAACGCTTAGAAATAATTTATTGTAGTAGCTGCTTTTTTATGGTTGTCAGACACACTGACCTTGGGGCAGTCAGCTCAACTGTGATGTCTCCAATTAATACTGTAGTAAACTGCATGCTAAAAGCTGAATGTATTCTATCTCTTTTGGCTGCCTTCCTGATCACAGACCACTCTTTCAAACCCTGCTTCTGAACCCAGTGGCACATGAATGATTTGTAGCACATTTCTTGCTTTAACATTCCTGCATCCTCCATTCCTGGAGGCGACTCTCAAAAGCGAATTTCACTCAAGTGATTTTTTTATTTTTAATCACAGACATTGCAAAGCTTGATACTGTTTTTCTTGCCAAATAAATTCCAGTAACTGCTCCACCTTGACTGTCAGGCTTCTTTCTAAAAGGGTATCATCTACCTTGCTGCATTAAATAATCTGTAATAGCTACAGATCACTGTTATTTTCCTATCTTAACCTAATGATCCTGCCTCAGGTGGCAAAAATATAGGGACCTAAAAGCATCTTGCAGTTAATAATGTCTTTTTAATGTACATCGTTGACAGAATGTCACACAAAAATTGAGATAGCGCTATTACTGAGAGCACTTATGTGGCCGTTCATATTAAAATGAATGGAAGAGAGACTAAAAAAAGTCTGTTTGAATCCTAGAATGAAAGTTTTGCAAAGAAATGTTCTCTTTAACGTCTGACATTCATAATAGGCCAACCCAAATTCTAGGAATTATTAGTTTCCTATTTTAGTACTTGTACCAGTAAGAACTGCTTACATTATCTTCCAAGTGAAATGAGGTTAGATCCCCTGAACTGGAATACTGACTGAGAGCACAACACAGCATGTCCATGTCTTATATTCTCATCAGTCACCTTTCACCTCACAAGGAACCAAGATGAGACAGGCTGCCTTGGATTTAAGAACATCAGAGAGGATTGTTCTTGCTACCTTTTCCCAAATCTCAAAGTGATTACTGTTGCTTTTGTCAGCTAGAGCTTACCAAGGTGTGCATACAGAAATAGCAGGTTATTTGTGGAAAGCAGCATGCATTGAACCTTTACAGCACTCCAAGAGCAGAGCAGACAGCCCGCTGGCTGAAGGCAATTCTCTGACCGCCACGGTAAAATGGAGTGATTGTTGCAGGTCACCTTGTACCAGCTTGCACACTGACCTCTACAGTAAGCACAGAAAGTAGCGCTCTGGTTCATATTCTTAGATCTTACACTCCATTGGCAAAGGTGTTCAGGTTACCCAGAGTCCATGCATCTCACTGGTAAGGCACCTGCCCTACATCACGAGCACGTTGCAGTAGCTTCACTTCAGTCTAATTTCTGAGTGAATGGCACTTAGCTTTCAATATTGGGATTGTTAACTGGTAGCTTGGAAGTCTGTTTCTACACCTCTCTAGTAAAAGAAAAAAGATGCCAGACCAGTAGAAAAGCCTAAAAAGAAAAAAAGAAAGCTGCTGTGATTACCGCGAATTAAATAATAATAATAGTAATAATAATAATAATAATAATTTTTTTAAAAAGGAGAGTTACTTCCTTATACTTAGAGCTCTATGAGTATGCCTTAAAATTATATGAATGACTAATATGATTTTTCCGAAATAGAAGGCCAAGAGCTTAAGTTGTTCTAGTGGATGGTATCTCAAAGCAGACAATGTTAGTGTTTCACCCTCAAGCCTGCACCTATGATGGTTGGACTGGATGATCTTGAAGGTCTTTTCCAAACTTCGTGATTCTGTGATTCCATTGATTTTACCAGGTGCTGGTGCAGATCTGGATGCTGCACGAGACTGCCAAACAAAAATAACAGTACAATACAGTAGTGTTTGGACTACACTGTCTTGTTGCAAAAGGCTCTCATGTGATGCAGAATAATTGAGTGATTTTTCTTTAAACCATTGGAAAACATTCCATTTCTTTCTGTAGAGTCTTACTTTCAAATCTGGGTGCCTGAAAAGGACATCCACATGATTAGTCTTCTATGGTGTATTACTCATTTCTCCTTAGTCATCTTGCACAATTTGAAAAATTAATGTAATCTACAATTTAAAGCAGTTATATATATAAATGTATGAAGCATGCTAGTTAATGGACCCAAAGCATCAGGATGAGCCTTCCCACTGCACAAGCTCTTGTGCGCTGTAATTTGGATTTCTGAACTGAATGGAAAACATGAATTGTCTACAAGTTCGCAGTACTTTCAAAAGGTAAACAGAGTAATTCTTTCCTCCGTATTACCAGGAATTCCCAGTATGCATTATCCAGAAATGAGGGCCATGGCTGAGAAAACCAGACAGTACAAATCAAAGCCTCAGCCTTAAGCAATGATTCTGATGCCCAGAATGGGACTGAATTGCGTGCAGGCCACACATTGGAGCTCTTGCTGCACACAGAGCCAGAATGCAGACAACCATGCACTTTCAGTCAAGCAGAGCAACCTGCATGAAAACAGG